GGCCCCGGCTGATCAGCATTTCTTTGCTAGGAGAGGAATCCGTTTGGGGTTCCTGCGTATTTACCCAGAGCTGCTTGGAGACGGTGTGTTGATTGTCTGTGAATCACGGACATGACATTGGGGCGGAAGCTCAGGTCACCTGACCAGGGCCTACCTTCTGTGTTTCTCCAGGCTCAGCAATCGCTTACGCTGCTTACATTTTCCCAGAGGAGTGGATCGGCAGCACCTTCCACCACTGCTACATCTTCATCGCTGTGCTGAACACGGTCCTGAGCACAAGTCTGTCCTGCTATTCCAGGTAGGGTGGCAGGGCCGTTGCTAGCACGGGGGCCCACGGGGGCCAGGCCCCCTCCTGAATTCGCAACGCCCCCGAATCTGGTTGAGGGAGAGGTGGTGGCAGCGGGCCGAGCAGGCAGGGCCGAGGTGCGGATGAGGCCTGTTCTCCCTGGGACACACATCCGAGCCGGAACCTTCTTGGCAAAGGAAGCCCATCTCCTCGCCTGGCCTGGCAGCATCCCTCCAGCTGAGGCCAGCAGGCACTGCCGCTCTGGGCAGGTGTTTTTAGAAACTGGGAGGGGCCAGGTGGGGCTTTGTCCAGCCTGGCTTTGATTGGCTGCGCAGATTTTTTTAAAAAAAAATTGCTGTGGCAGCAGCTCCCACCACAGCTTCACTTAAGCAGCGATCCTGCCTGAAAGGTTGAAAAGTGACTATTAAGAGTCATGCGTGACTCTCGCTCCTTGACCTTTTGTGGTCAGCTCCACCCCTTTGCAAGCGGCCGTTTGGCGGCTGTGCCCGCAGCTCCCCCCCCGTGTCCAAATTCCAAAGGTGCCCGCAGGCTCCAAAAGGCTGGAAACGCCTGGTCTAGAGAGAGCCCTCCCCCCCCCCGCCCCCAACGGTGTGGAATCGCTCAGCGGCTGTCAGGGGCTCTGCTTGCTGTGTTAAAAACACATCCAGGCACCTGGCGGCTCACCGAGTCACACAAGGGAAATAAGAAAGGTTCCTTTCCCTGCCTCAAGCGCGGGAAATTAGTAGCTGTGAACGGATTTTGGTGCGTGACTGCTATCAATGGGTAAAGCTGAGTGAAAAGAATCGGGAGCAAAATTTCTGTCGCCTGAACACTGTTTCCAAAGCACTGAGAAGCTCAGGCAGATGCACTTAAAAAAAAAAAAAAACACCAGGTCTGTTAAGAGATTTATGCATCTCTTTTGCATTTACGGGACGTCTGCAACGAACTGGCTCAGCCTGCCTTGGGTTGCAGCGGCATCCACACGCCCTCTTCTGGCAACGCATCCTGGCAGATCTGCATGTTCCGGAGCAGGCTGCAGGCGCGGAACACAGAAGCAAAGTCGGTGACTTTGGCAGGCCACAGTATGAACCGCTGGGACCACACATTTATCTTGTGCTGTTGCCAGGCAGCAGAGGGCGAACCAGACCATGCAGTGTTTTAATAGCTACTCGCAAGCTGCTTTGAGCCAAGAGTAAAGAGGAGGCATATTCTGATACGTAAATTAATAAATTACAAGAGTGAAAGTTGTGGCTGTCATCCTCCTTCCTGAAAAAAAGATTTCAGAGGGTAACTGTGTTGTCCAGCCATAGGAGAGCGCGATTCGAATCCAGGAGCACCTTAAGAGACCGACAAGGTTGTCAGCAATGCTCCCTCTAAGCTGTGGAGTCTTGGGAGCAAAAATTCTACTTTGTGAGCTTCTGGCATTAAGGTTCTGAGTGAGGGATTTGGCTACTGCATAAATCAGTTTGCTCTGGAGCCTTTCCTTCCTCAGCCAAGACAAAAATGTGTGAACTGGAGGCTAAAAAACTGTGAGCTAGCTCACACTAACTCAGAGGGAACACTGGTTGTCAGGGGGCAAGCTTTCGAGAGTCAAAACTCCCTTTGTCAGATGGTAGTAGGAATGGAGTTCTCGGAGCCTTTATATCTCATTCAGAAGGCAGGAGGGGTGTTGCAAGGAATGGTTCAGCCCTTAGGGAATAACTCTAATTTGTGGAAGCAGGTATATAAAGGGGATAATTTAATCGACAACTTGCTAATTATCCAGTCGAAATTTGCTCCATAGCACAAATTCATTACAAAGACCATCTTAGAGCCCCTTACTTGGTTGATATAACAGCCTATAATCTTAGAATGGCATTTACTTTGTTGCGCTTCCAAACAATGCCAACCGATGCCAACTTGTTGGACAATATTCCCAAAAAAACCCCAAAGGAACAATGCATCTGCATTATGTGGAAGTTCAGGAGGAGACCTCCTCCGCTATGTTTTGGCCTGTCCTTTGTTTTGGGAGCCCAGGAATAAATTCCCGGCTAGGATCCTAACTACTCTACATTTTCTTCCTGATTTTGACAAATTAGCTCACATGTTATCTGATGTGGATTCCTCTGTCTCCGACAAGATGGCGCTTTTTGCCTTTGCCACCAGGAAAATGAGAGCAAATGTGGTTCCTCAGGCTCCACTGGACTGTTTTGGATTGCTAGCTATTGGGGGGGGACATGCAGATCTGCCCTCGCAGAGGAGGGAGAGCTTCTACCTGAATAAAGCTTGGCCTTAAAGGTGCCACTGGACTGTTTTGGATTGCTAGCTATTGTGTGTGTGGGGGGGAACGTGCAGATCTGCCCTCACAGAGAAGGGAGAGCTTGTACCTGAAGGCGGGCGGGGGGAGTGGCTCTGCAACTTACCTGGCTGCTCCTTGCTCCTCGTGGCCCGACTGAGGGCTGCTGGGAGCAGGGGGTGGGGCTTGTTGCATGTGCCCGCCCTCTGGGCTCCTTACTGCCGGAGCTCCGCTCCTGTGCCCTCCCTCAGGAAATGACCCCTGCTTTTAATCCATGTTCACTGTGATGTCCTCCAAACAATTCTGCACTAAAATCGAGTTCAACCTTCTTTTTATTCCCGTCCCCCCCCCCATTGTGCATTACATTACCTCCCTTCAGTGCTCAGCCCGGTTTCAGCCTGCTGTTGCCCCGGGTTATTTGGATGCTGTTTTGCCCTGGACTTAAATTGCCTCGACTCAAACGCTGAGAAAATCTAGAGTGGCAGGCAAATGCAGAAAAGACCTAAGGCTGAGGTCACACACACTAAATAATCCACTTCCGATCCACTTTCAGTGCACTGTCTAACTGGTTTTTGCTAGTTCACACAGGCTCGCTCACAACTTTAATGCCGGTAGCTCACAAAGTGGAATTTTTGCCCACAAGACTCCACAGCTTAGAGGGAGCATTGGCCGTGATTCACAAAAGCTCCTCCCCTGCCACAACTGTTGTTAGCTTTTAAGGTGCTCCTGGACTCTTACCCTTCCCATCTGGATCTAGTTTCAGAACATTTATTCTTGCTCCGGGTGTTTTGATTGGCTTCTCCTGCTCTGATTCTCCTTGATGGTATAAACTCTGCTCAAATGTGGCTGCCATCACACACACTCAGTAATCCATTTTCAATCCACTTTCAATGCGCTTTTCAACTGGATTTCTACTGTGTGAATTGGCAAAATCCAGTTTGAAAGTGCATTGAAAGTGGATTGTTTATGTGCAGCCTGTGCAAAGATTTCAGAACCGTCTCAGCAAAAGGTGAAGCTTTGGTGCAGTCCGAGTAAGAGCCAGGTCAAGCCTAGACAGTGTGGGTGTAGGTCTCAGTTCGAGGACGGTGTGCCAATCTGAACATGCACGGGTTTGCACTGGGCATTCTGGCCCAAGCTTATGTCAACACGGACAGATGCTGTCACTCGTAATTCAGCCATTTCCATCGGTTTTGCATATTTCAGCTGAACGGTCAGGAACCCACCGGAGCAGAATAGGGTCGGTGTTCTAAATTCAGATCAACTGAACTGCTTCCCCTTCTGCAGTAAAGTAAAGGTAAAGGTTCCCTTGCTCGAAAGCCAGTCGAATCCGACTCTAGGGTTGTGGTGCTCATCTCCGTTTCAAAGCCGAAGAGCCAGTGCTATCCGAAGACAATTCCGTGGTCATGTGGCCGGCATGACTAAACACCAAGGCGCACGGAACACTGTTACCTTCCCACCGAAGTGGTACCTATTTATCTACTTGCAATTTCTCGCTTTCGAACTGCTCGGTTGGCAGGAGCTGGAACTAGAGACGGGAGCTCACTCCATCATGCGACAACTCGGGTCTCGAACTGCTGAACTACCGACCTCCCACAGCCTGCAGTTCAGCGTCTTAACCACTTGAGCCACCGCAGCTCCTCCTTCTGCAGTAGCCACTCACTTTTGCTAACATGAGGCGCCACCAGCAATCCTTGCATCAGCCCTCAGGCATTCTGCACACAAAAAGCTTGTGCTTTGTCAGTTCACTTGGATTTATTATTATTTTTTTAATTCAGGTTCACTGAAGCAGAGCGGTCCAAGTTCACCAAAGTGATTCGCACTGCAGCCTTTGCATATCCTTACGTGTTTGACACTGTGCCACTCTTCTACCGGGTATGGATTCAGAATGATTTCCTTCCTGTTTTTGTGAGTCTTTAAGGCGCTGCTGGACTCTTGCTCTTTTCTGCTGCTACAGACCAACAAGATGCTACTACCCATCTTGACAAGCCTGTGGTGTATGTTAGGCTGAGAGAATGTGGCTGGCCCCAAATGATCTAGCAAGACTGACAGCAGTGTGAACGTTTGCACCCCGGTCCCCACATCATAATCTGCCACCCTAACCACTGCACTGGCTCTCTGCACTTATCCGCTCCTTGCAACTGCACTGTTTTCTTTTCCACAGCTTTACTTGTGCGCAGCAAGGGGCTGCTCCGAAAGTGTCATCCCCACCCACTACGGCCACGTCGTCTTCGCCTTCCTCACCTGCTTCATTTATGCGACTCACTTGCCAGAGCGACTGGTACCGGGACTCTTCGACTATTTTGGTGAGACCAAAGAACAGGACACGGTTCCTCATGCAAGCGCCACTGAAACCAGTGCATGTTGCACAGTGTTTTGGTCTCTTTCATTGGGAGCTGTTTGGACAAGTGGTAAAATAACCAAATGACACTTACAAGGGATGTGAAATTGTGCTGGGTGTTGCAACTGAAGATTGCCTTTTGCTAGGCTTTTGTTGCAACTGGGAGATTTTTATCGTATTTAATATTTTGTGAGATGCCTTGGCTACTCTTGGGTAGAAGGAAAGTAAATAAATAGATGGTGTAATGCTGAAGTTGGGCAGTGTATTTGGGGATAAGAGAAAAACAGAAGGAAAGTTTCTTATTTTGCCTATAGTCTTCAAGGTACCCAGAGAATGCAAACACACAGTTGGTAAACCTTTTATATTCAGTTCTATTTCAAGATCTTTATATTTCAATTCTATTTCAAGATAGGAATATCTTGAAATATTAAAAAGATGTCTTAGCCATGGGTATACCTAACATGTACTGACGTAGGCAACTATGCAACAAAGGAATGAAGATCAAGAAAATGAATCTGCAAACTTTTCCATACTTTTGCTTCTTTCAGAGTCTTCAGCAAATTTAACCATTGCATTTCCAAAACACCGCTGCATTCCTAAGGGCCAGGAACTCAGTTTTCATTTTTCAATTAAAAACTGTTTCTGCTATAGTTTGCATCAGGGGTCATTTCCTGCAGGAGCGCACAGGAGCGGAGCTCCGGCAGTAAAGAGCCCAGGGGGCGGGCACATGCAACAAGCCCCACCCCCTGCTCCCAGCAGCCCTCAGTTAGAGCAAGAAGCAGCCAGGTAAGCTGCAGAGTCCAGTGGCACCTTTAAGACCAGGTTTTATTCAGGTACAAGCTCTCCCTCCTCTGTGAGTTCACCCCCCCCAATAGCTAGCAATCCAAAACAGCCCAGTGGAGCCTGAGTGGTGGGTGTTGCCTTTGGACACACTTCCGGTGATGTCAGGGGGTGTGGCATATGCAAATAAGTTATGCCAATGAGCTATGCTAATGAGCTCCTGCACCTCTTTTTCTACAAAAGGACCCCTGGTTTGCATCATATCTTTAAAGAGTTGTTGACCTCTTCTCCACATGTCCCAGGGCACCAGTCTCTAGGAACTCACTCTCTGTACCAGCCAAGACCACATATGCAAGAGCTATGGAACAGCACGTTCTAGCTCACTTCGGTTCCAAATGGCTTGGATGGAACATCCTGCGACTGAATGTTTCCCAAGAGTCCAAAGACCACCTGCTGAATGTTGTGGTTTCCCTCTCTCTTCCAGGGCACAGCCACCAGCTTTTCCACATCTGCGGGATCATAGGGACACACTTCCAAATGGAATCACTCCTTATAGACATGACAGACCGTCGCGACCGACTGCTGGCTTTTTCACCGGCTCTGTCCCTCTCTCAGACCGTGGGTCCAATGGCGGCTTCCTTCACCATCAGCCTGCTCATCATTGCCGCTTTCTCAACAACACTCTATTCAGTGCCAAAGTTCTCCAGGGACTAATTAAAAACAAAAAAGAATTATACTTTTATTAACATGTTTAGAGGTTATCAGGTGCTACTCATTACCCTGCGTTGAAGGTGTTGAAACTATTCTTTGAGGAATGTCTGGATCAAGGGATTTTTATTAATGAGATTTTATATTGAAATTTTTCTATCACTTGAAGAAAGACATAATCGGGGAAGCGGCTTTTTAAACGCCTATGTAGGGTTTGACCTTTTATAATGCCTTAAGAATTGCTAGCCAGAAACCTCCAAAGAAACCCAAGCACTGACCATTGCAGCAGCCTTAACTACTCTACAAGTGACCACTGATCAAGAGGAACCAGTTTCTACTGGCAAAGAATAAAGCCCGGTCCACGCCAAAGAGGTCCCAGGACCCTCTCCAAGTTTCTCCACTCCGTTTTCTGTGCTTGGGAAGACACAGTGCTGCCAAGCATACCTGGATGTAACATATCTATAGCTTTAATAATAATTGATATGGTTTTTTAATACACAACCGTGCAATTAAATGTCATCTAGCTTCTTGTAAATTGTTTGTATGAGCTCATATTTTTGTAAATAGCCTCTGTTGAGGCATCGCACAGTCACTTTTCAGTAACAATAAAAAAGTAAAGTCCATTTTGGGATAAATGGTAGTCTTGGAAAGATGCATTTTTGCAGAGAGAGAGATGTCTCAATGTGGTGTTTATGGGTCTCCCATCACAACACTTTGAAGTTGGGAAGAAGAAGAAGAGGAGGAGGAGATTTGATTTATACCTAACCCTTCACTCGGAGTCTCAGAGCAGTTTACAAACTCCTTGCTCTTCCCCTCCCCACAACAGACGCCCTGTGAGGTAGGTGGGGCTGAGAGAGCTCTGAGAGAACTGTGGCTTGCCCAAGGTCATCCAGCAGCTGCAAGTGGAAGAGTTGGGAATAAAACCCCTACCTACCTACCTACCATCCCACCTACCTATCATTTATTTTGTTCAGTTTACATCCCACCCTCCCCGCAAGCAGGCTCACGGCGGGTTACAGGTCACTGGTTGAGGCTAGTCAGACGTCCTTCGGGCCAGAGACAACCAGAAGGTGTTGGTCCATTGAGCACAAGGCTCTACTGGGTACATATAGGGAGAGACGGTCCCTGCGGTCTGCAGGTCCCTGGCCATATAGGGCTTTGAAAGTCAGCACTAACACCATGAACTGGGTACTCTATAGGCAGCCAGTGCAGCTGGCGGAGCACTGGCTGAATGCGAGCCTGGGCAGGCTCTCAACACCCACGCCACAATGTTCTGCACCAGCTGCAGTTTCCGGTTGAAGCTGAAGGGCAGCCCTGCGTAGAGCAAGTTACAATAATCCAAACTGGAAGTGACCATTGGCTGGATCACTGTAGCTAGGTCCTGGGAACTGAGATAGGGAACCAGTTGCCTGACCAGCTGGAGGTGGTACAAGCCTGACTGAGCAACCGTGGCAACCTGGACCTCCCTAGATCGGGAGTCCAGGATAACCCCTAGGCTCTTCACCCTCGGGGCTGGCACCAAAGGTTGCCAGATGCCTCCTGGAATTACAACTGATTTCCAGACTACAGAGGTCAGTTTTCCCAGAAGAGGAAATGGCAGCTTTGAAGGGTGGACCATGCGGCATTGTACCCCATGGAAGTCTCTCCTCAGGCCACACCACCAAAGACTGGGCAGAATATGGTGGGGTGGGAATATGATCCCTGCACCCAAGGTGCCCCACCTCCTCGCTTTATCCCGCCACCCTAATGATGAAAACCTGGGGAAGGGGTGCTAGAAGCATGACTTGCAAAGTTTCCGGGGCATTGTGCTGTCCCCAGAATCCGGGGAATTGTGTTAGCCCCAGAATCCACACAGAGCACGCATGTAGCTCTGCCCTGGCAGCTTCCTCTAGCCAGAATTCTTTGGTGGGTGAGGGAATTGGTCATATCACAATGATGCTGCTGGCTTTTCTGGGTGGCCTGGTATTCTCCGTGAGCATCATCGCCTCGTCTTCATGTGAGTACCACTCTGGTGGTTTGTTTGGCTTGTGGTGATCATATCTCCCATTGGATCTTAACCAAGTGTTGAATCTTCTGTCTTTAATTTCCAGCAAAAATGAATGGGGCACAGAACCTCGAGGAGGCAAGAACACCGTTCTGCTTCCCAAGAACCACCAGCAGACCAAATTTCAGATGAATCAGAAGACCAGTGAAAATATTGTCTGTAGACGGATAAAGATGCCAAGGATGGTGAGTACGGAAATGCCACTGTTTGAGCGTCACCTTAAATCCTCTGCGCACAAACTGAAAAGGGGTCACGGGGGCAATTAATACTTCAAGGTAGATAAGGAAGAATTGTGGCTGGAGATATTTCGAATTGGATGCTAGTGTGGCACAGGAGACAAAAGAGTGGTTCACAAAGCAGGAAGCACCAGGTTTGGATTTTACTTCTGCTGTGAATGCAGGAATAATGATAGTGGCCCATGAACGCAATGTGCTTGGAACACTTGAAAATGCTGCCTGAACATGCACTGGGCTTTACAAAGGAGTTCTCCCACACGGAGAAATGTGGAACAGCTTTGTTCCCCATCAGACTACTGTGCCTTCAAGCCTAGTGCTGTTCAGTTTGCCTGGCAGAAGATCTCCAAGGGCAAAGAAAGAATTGTATGTGTGTGTGTATGTATATATATATGTCATTTCCTGAAGGAGCGCACAGGAGCGGAGCTCCGGCAGTAAGGAGCCCAGGGGGCGGGCACATGCAATAAGCCCCGCCCCCTCCTCCCAGCAGCCGTCAATTGGGCCACGAAGAGCAAGAAGCAGCCAGGTAAGCTGCAGAGCCCCCCCCCCTTCAGGTACAACCTCTCCCTTCTCTGCGAGAACAGATCTGCACGTTCCCCCCCACCCCACTAGCTAGCAATCCAACACAGTCCAGTGGAGCCTGAGCGGTGGGTGCTGCCTTCTGACACACTTCCGGTGATGTCAGGGGGTGTGGCAATATGCAAATGAGTTATGCTAATGAGGAGCTGCGGTGGCTCAAGTGGTTAAGACGCTGAACTGCAGGCTGTGGAAGGTCAGTAGTTTAGCAGTTCGAGACCCGAGCGTGTCGCATGACGGAGTGAGCTCCCGTCTCTAGTTCCAGCTCCTGCCAACCTAGCAGTTCAAAAGCAAGAAATTGCAAGTAGATAAATAGGTACCACTTCGGTGGGAAGGGAACAGCGTTCCGTGCGCCTTGGTGTTTAGTCATGCCGGCCACATGACCACGGAAACATCTTCGGACAGCGCTGGCTCTTCGGCTTGGAAATGGAGATGAGCACTGCTGCAACCCAAGAGTCGGACTCGACTGGCTTTCGAGCAAGGGGAACCTTTACCTTTTTATGCTAATGAGCTCCTGCAACTTTTTTCCTACGAAATGACCCCTGATTAATGCTCGCACTAACTCCGCTCAGAGGAAACACCGTTGGCAACCCGATGGGGGGAGGAGGAGGAGGAGCAGCAGCCCCCCCCCCCTCTCCCGCGAGTTCGGAAGCGCGCCAGGGGAGAGCCACAGTCCGGAAGGCCAGACCTCAGCCAGCGGGTCCCCAGCAGCCCGAGAAGACCCCCCGCCCCGGCCGCCCGGTCCTCGAGTAACACGCGTTAGCCGAGCTCCCGGTTGGGTTGCCGTGGCAACCCAACGACGCCTCGGCCCTGTCTTCCCACTTCCCCCGCGCGCGCTTATGACGTCCCCGCCGGGCGCGGCGACGTCATCCCCGCGGCCGGCCCCGCGCGCTCCATCCCGATTGGTCGGATTTGAATCCTCTCAGGCCGCGCAGAGGGTGTCGGGAAGCGGGAGGGAATGTTCAAACTGACTCTCTCAGCACCCGAGGCGCCCGGCCGGACTCCCGGACCGAGACCGAACCGGGGCAGGATGAAGGCGGCGGCGTGAGTCCTTTCGCTCCCGCGCGCGGTCGCCGGTCCGGGGAAGGGGACGTGAACGGCGAGGGGGCTTGGCCCCAACGCGGCGCCTCGGGATGGATGTATGGGCTTTGCCAACCTCCAGGCGGGGGCGGGAGGTCCCCCGGAATCCCCACTACGGAGACCCCCCCCTTCCCCTGGAGGAACAGGGCTGCTTGGGAGGGTGGGCTGCGTGGCGTGACTAACCCCTTGCTCGGGTCTCTCCCCATCCCCGCCCCCTCCCCAAACCGCACCCCCCCCCAATCTCCAGGAATTTGCCAGCCTGGAAATGGCAACCGTACTTGGGTGGGTTTTTTTTTAAGGCTGGTCTCTAACTAATAATTTTGGGTTTGTTTTTTTAAATGATGTTTTATGCTGTGAGCTGCCTGGGGCGGGTTCCCTAGAGAGGCTGGGAGTTCAAGTGCAAAGTGATGCACATTGGAGCCAAAAATCCTAACTATAAATACACGTTGATGGCGTCTGAACTGGCAGAGACTGAGCAAGAGAGAGATCTTGGAGTCGTGGTAGATAACTCAATGAAAATGTCGAGACAGTGTGTGACTGCAATAAAGAAGGCCAATGCTATGCTGGGGATTATTAGGAAGGGTATTGAAAACAGATCAGCCAATATCATAATGCCCCTATATAAATCAATGGTGAGACCTCATTTGGAATACTGTGTGCAGTTCTGGGCACCACACCTTAAAAAGGATATTATAGCTTTGGAAAAAGTGCAGAAAAGGGCAACTCAAAAGATAAAAGGGTTGGAACACTTTCCCTATGAGGAAAGGTTAAAGCGCTTAGGGCTCTTTAGCTTGGAGAAAAGACGACTGAGGGGTGACATGATCGAGGTTTATAAGATTATGCATGGGAAAGAGCAGGTAAAGAAAGAGGTACTTTTCTCCCTTTCTCACAATACATGAACTCGGCACTCCATGAAACTGATGAGCGGTCGGGTTAGAACGGATAAAAGGAAGTCCTTCACCCAAAGAGTGATGAACACATGGAATTCACTGCCACAGGAGGTGGCAGCGGCTACAAGCATGGACAGCTTCAAGAGGGAATTAGATAAGCATATGGAGCAGAGGTCCATCAGTGGCTATTAGCCACAAGGTATAGATAGGGACTCTGGGGCAAGTGATACTCTGTCTTCTTGGTGCTTGGGGGGGGGGGGTCAACAGTGGGAGGGCTTCTAATGTCCTGGCCCCACTGCTGGACCTCCTTATGGCCCCTGGTATTTCTGCCCCCTGTGTGACAGAGTGTTGGACTGGATGGGCCATTGGCCTGATCCAACTTTGGCTTCTCTTATGTTCTTAAAAAGTCTAAATAACTAGATAAATCCAGGGAGGGCCGTTCTGGCTTTGAAAGGGGCTCTGAAAAATCTTTGGGAAAAAGGAGAGGCTTGTCAGTAGTGCTTGGGCGTGGCTTTGTTTCCTTGGGGGACCAGGGTTCATATATCCCCATTCTGACACGGGACCAGTCTTCCCTCTAAGCTGAGTTAGTGTGAGCTAGCTCACGGTTTTGTAGCCTCCGGCTCACACGTTTTTGTCTTTGCTCAGGAAGGATGGCTCCAGAGCAAACTAATCTATGCAGTAGCCAAATCGCTCCCTTGCCGCTTTAATGCCAGTAGCTCACAAAGTAGGATTTTTGCTCACAAGTCTCCACAGCTTAGAGGGAGCATTATATGGGACCTTGCTAGGTGATCTCAGACAAGGCACACACACTCGGCCTAGCCCGCCTCATAGGGTAGTTGTGAGGATTAAAATAAAGAACTATGTAACCTACTTTGGGTCTCCATGGGGGTGGGGGAGATGGAGCATAAATGAAGTAAACAGATGTAGTCATTAAAACAGCACTATACTGCCTTTCGTTCGTTCAACTTAATATATGAAATGTGATCAGACCACTCCATCAAAACTTTAGTTACTGCTTCTCTAAAACCAATATAATTGTCACCCTGGATCCGCAGCCGCCTGTTAATGTGAATTAAGTAAAAATGTTCTGCATGGGGGGGGGGACAGGAGAGGGTGTTGCTTCAGTCTCCACTCTCAAGATGAGTTGCTGCTGTCCTGACTGTGCTGTGGGAGGGGACGGTAAGGAGAATTTGGCATGCTCCATGTGACTGGCACACCACGGGAGGCAGCTCTTTATGCATGTGGACTGCAGGCCACCTAATTTGTTATTGCAACTCATCCGCCTCTAAGGGTCTCCCAGAGAAAGTTTTACAAGCTGGGAAGGGCAAAGGTCCACAGTGCAGGTGGTGGGCCCTCCCAAGAACCTTCTCAGGAGCTGTCTGCAAAACCAGTAGCAGCCTGACAAGGCAGTGCTGTCAACACCTCTGCTTCCTGAATGGCTCTTAATCTCGAGTCAGAGAGATTTTTGTCTACAAAGAACCTCGCCCATTCCCTGTCTGTAGCTGACTCTGCCCTAGGAGTCGTTGAGCTTCACGCTGTCTTAGATACGCTACCTAGGTGAAGTTCAGGTGATGCAGTGGTTGTTTCTATCGCTCCTGGCCCTGCAATGAGTTCTAGGGCATGCCCTGTCTGATTCAACCTGTGTCCTACACCAGAGCATGGTGGATATGTCTTTAGGTTCATCAACTCCCTCAGCTCCTTAGATTACTTGGGAAGCATGGCCTTGTCGGAAAGTGTGAGGGGAAGGGGATCCTGGGGAGCAGCTCCGTGCACTTTCCCCCTGTCTCTTCTTGTGCCGTGCCTGTATCGAGGCTTCTGCCCAGTCAGTACTCAGGCCCTCAGGACATCGAGAGCATTTCGGAAGACAGTCGGATCGATTGGTTGCTTCTAATGTGGTCTCTGACCTAGTGGAGCAGAGGCGATACAACAAGCAGTCCCCCTATTAGGTAGTGTTCTGAACACGATGATGGCCTTAATCTGCACACACATACCCCCCCCCCCTACGCACACACACTAGATCGCTGGAAGTTTGCTCTGTTTAACAAAAAAAAGAGATGATTCAGCATATGAGCATTTTCACAGGCTTAGCATGCAGTGAGCTGGGAGAGTCCCATAGTCTCCATGGCAGCCAGGAAGTCCTGAATTTGGCCTCTCTGTGGATGCTGAAGTCGTCTCCCAGGACAATCATCTTTGGCATTCTTGACACCAAGCCAGATGTAGAAACCTAAAGCGGGAAGGGACACCCTCAGGGTTATCTAGTCCAACCCTCCTGAACAATGCAGGAAATTCACAGCCCCACCCCAGGGACCCCAGCTCTACGCTCAGAATCATAGAGCAGTTCAGCCAGGGTATATGCAGGTCAGCTAGGGAGATGGCGAAGGAGCAGCAGCAGCAGCCCTTAATTTGTTTCCCAGTAATGTGAAGCAGCTATATGGGGAGGCTGGGGCCTTTTTGCCCCAATTGTGTGGCATCTGGTGAGCTATTGGAGGAGATGCTGGCTGTGGTGGACCCTTGGTCTGCTCCAGCAGAGCTCTTCATGTTCTTAACCTTGGGGGGGGTACCATGTATGGGAGGGGTAGCTATTTATGATCTAAAACAGAACACACTTCATTACTGTTATCAATTATTGTACAGCCTACATTAACTGCAGTCAACTGTAGCGGTGGCCCTCTGGGAAGTCTGAGGTTTAGCTGTTCTGGACTCTTCTCTCCTTTGTGTTGCACTGATTTCAGAGCAGGCATGTGTTGCGTAATCTGTTTCTGTGTCTTGATTCTTTGTTCCCAGTAGAATTAAGACCCCCAGAAGGAACGTGGTGAAGAAAGTATCTGGCAACAATCAGAAGGACCCTGTTGGGGTAAGTAGGCACAGGAATAACTCTGTTGCTGTCTCTCTCTCCCCGTTGGTATTAGTCCATTGAACAGAAGGACAGGCTTAAAATGTTTCACACAGCGTATCTTCCTACATGCATGGCAGTCGTTCTCTGACAGCAGCCACACAAGCTGAGTTTGATAAGTAAGTAGCGCTCTCCACAAAGACCCCTCTCCTTGTCCTGCGACTGTGAAAGCATCAGCTGGATTTCAGTTGGTTTTCCCAGCCCCTGAGGCAAAATAGAGTGGTTTGATTTCATCTCCTGCTTTTTAGCTCTGAGGTTCCCAAATCAACTTATGAAGCAAAAGTATTCCTCCTTCCTGTAGTCCCAACACCTGTGAATTGGAGATACCTGGAATTGAATGTTTCTTCCTGTTTCTTCTGTAGTGTAAAAATGTATTGGAGTCATACTGGTCAGCAGTGACTCTTGGCTGGCCTGGCTGATCTTCAGATGCTGCTGGGTGTCCCTCAGTCATGTTACAGCTGGACATCTTGCTGATGATATAGATGGTTTGCTTAATCTAGTTTAGCAAAGCCTGAAGGCTTTAAACACTTGGGTAAAAAACTAAATTGGTAATGCCTTATTTTCTAGCTTGATAAGGAGCCCTTGCCTGACCAAAAATATCCTCTTAGATCAGAGTTCCTTGTCTCATCCTGTTAAAAAACCTGGCTGTTTCAGATAACTTTCTGACTGGTACCCTAGCCCTGAACACAGCTGGAAGCTAATCCCACTTATTTTATTTGAACAGACGGAAATATTATTCTCCTCCTAGCATAAGGCTATAAATTTATCACTCTGGCTTGGCTTTTTGACCTTTTTGAGCGGATTGGTTTTGTAACGGGAGTTATTCCATATCCTGTTAAAGGTCTGAACCACTTATTTTGTGAAAATTATTCTCACCTGTCACGTAATTCCAGGGACTTCAAAAGGATCTACACAGATAAGACCCAATAAGGCAGCAACTTTATTTACAACAGGACAATGCTTATAAGCAAGTTCTGTATTTAACCTTTTGCCAGCAAACCAGACAGACTTTCAGTGAGTCTGTGATCTTTTATGGAAGAAGAAATCTTTTTATTAGGCAACATGATAAAAAATAGACAAGAACAAGTTAACCTTAAAGAAACCTGAAAGATTTTTGTAAGATTTCTCAAACGTAGTTGAATAAATATGCTTTAAAACAAATCACTGTTTCAGTGAACAACAATCTCAGAATGCTTTAGAAAGCTTTGGAAGCCCAACACAGAGAAATCTCACCTACATCCTTCTGACTGTCCCTTCAAAGAAACCTGAGTAACTCTCTGTGTGATGTTTTTTTGAGAAAGTTAACATCTGCTACCTTAGAGAAATCATGATAAGTTTATCTTGCAATGATTCTACAGATAAGTGATTGGTTTTCAAAATAGTGTTATGCGATCACTGACAGGTGTGTCTGATACTGGTTAGTAACTGCTCAGGCAGGATTTAAAAAGGCTCTATTTAGTACTTTAGTAGTAATTAAAAAACAATAATTACTTTTTTTCCCCCTGGCTTTGTTAACTGGCTGTTAAAAGATTTTTTAAAATCCCGTTCTTTTCCTGACAAGCTGGTGAACTTTCTACAAAAGCTATGAGAAACACATACGGGCTTAGCGCACGTATCATGACAAGTTTTTAACCCTCAGGTGTACTGTCGGGTGCGTCCGGTGCCAGATCAAGAATGCTGCATCGAAGTGGTCAGCAGCACCACTGTCCAGGTTCACCCACCCGACGGGTACCGCAGCAACCGCAACGGGGAGTATAAAGAGGTATGCTGAGAAAACCCAGGTGTTCAAAACTGCAGGACTGAGGAGTGAAGGTCTGGATCTGTGGACGGAGGAGGCAGGTTGTAGGTCTTGGGCAGGTCCCCAAGCCTGCAGTTGTAGGACAGGCATGTTTGTTTTGCTAAAGCAATGGGCGTAGAGCTGATGCTGCTGGAGCTGAGCTCATTGGCTGTGAGAAGGTTCCTTACTGCAGGTAGTGACAGCCCACTGCAGGGGTGGCAAGGGCCCAAGGGGATGGAGGAAGTGTCTTCATGATCGGCACTAGGAAGAGCTGCTGGGCAGACAGCTTTATACAACAGCAGCAAAGTTGTGGCCCAGAGCAGCTGACTTGCTTGAAGCAACACGAGACTCACTTGGGCATGTGATAATCTGTGGCCGAATGCCTGTGTCCTCCTGCCTCCATAACAGCCTCTTGACTCCCTCTTCAGGTGCAATATTCGTTTAAAGAGGTGTTTGGCCCCAGCGGCTCTCAAAGATGGGTTTTTGATACGGTTGCTAAGCCTCTTGTGGAAGACCTCATCCATGGAAAAAATGGTATGCTTGGATGGCTGGAATTATTCAATGTTTTAAGGTCACGTTCACCCTTAGCTGCTAAGACTGTTGAGAATCTGCTTTATTTGGTGGTGACAGGAATGCTGTCCTGGCAGACTGCATTTTTAAAATAATAATCAGCATGCCTAGTTGGAAGGAAATAGGCTGTTGTGTGGTGGCTCACCTTGAAAGGGACGCGCGTAAGCTGTACTACTGAGCGAACTATTCCGTTTGTAATTTGCCTTTCCCCGACAAGGCAAGCATTCCAGTTGATCGATCAGCACAGTTCAAAGCACAGGCCCCAATGATGTGTGTCAGCCCTGAAGCACTGCTCTTTGCAACCTTCAGAATAAAGCACGCACCCTTCTTTTTTGAATTTGGCTGTTTCTCATGGGTGTGATCCATTGGGTTCATCTCTCCCCAGTCTTATGGACATCCTTTGTGATTTTGTAAGCCTGCGTTATCCCTGAACAGCTCTGCCTAGAGAGGTATTTTATTTTTGCATTTGTACCGTGCAGATCCACAGTACGGCCCTGTACCTTATTCTGTGGTATTAACAGCTACAGCCTGCAATCTTTCTGCAGTTAGGAGGTACAGATAGGAAATGCTTGAGGGGAGGTGAAAGAGAGAACTGCTCTTTGATGCTGGTGTGTTCATGTGAAGTGCTCTTAAATACTGGCATTGGCTTTCTCCTTGACTCCTAGGTCTCCTTTTTACGTATGGTGTTACGGGGAGTGGGAAAACCCACACGATGACAGGCTCCCCAGGCGACGGCGGGCTCCTTCCCCGGTGCTTAGACATGATCTTCAACAGCATTGGGCCGCTCCAGGCCAAACGATATGTAAGTTCCTTGCTACCAAACCTTGACATTTGACAGCTTGGCACCAAAGAAGTGCCACTGATCTGACTAACAGGCATGTGTTGTGCTAGATATGCACAATGCAGACAGAAGGATGATTCTTAGGAACAGGGTTTATGCCCTGCAAATCTTTTATGTGGAGTCGGTCAAACCTTAGCACAGACTGTTCTTCCTTAGAATGCAAAAATTTTGGCTTCAAATCTTCCCGTGGGATGTTCTCCAGAGCCAATGCTGCCACCTTTGCAGGCGCGCTGTGAAGCAAAGCTCTTGGGAACTCTTTTCCCTTTATGGTTGGTTGTTTTAAGCTGCAGTGTAAATAAGCAAGAGCGGACCCCGTGTGTAATTTGAGGTTCAAGAGAAAAGCTATCTTTCTCTAATTAGGGAAGGGTCAACTTTGGAAGTAAGACAAAGAAATGCAACCCAAGATTCTAAGGCTACATGTTAATGGTTACATGGTTAAAACTACAATGGCTTCTTCTCTCAGAACAAAGAAAGGCACATAATAACATAGGAGAAGCCAGTGTTGGATCGGGCCAATGGCCCATCCAGTCCAACACTCTGGGTGCGTTCAGACGGGGGATTTACAACGGTTAGGGTGCCGGTTCCAACCGGTGTACTTACGGGCGTTCACATGGTGAACATCTGCCTCCCGTCCCTAACCGTTGTAAATCCCTTTAAACCGTTGCACTCTGCCACTAGGTCCGAAGTGGTGGTAAACAGAGTGCAACGGTTGTAATCGGTGCACCCCGGCGTCTGATCGCTCTCCTCCGTTCCCCAGCTACTTCCGTCGGAAGCCTGAGGCTTCTGGCCATTTTTTTTTTAAACTAAGCGATATGCGCTCAGGCGAAGCTTCACCCTGAGCGTTTGTTAAAAAAAAAAAAAGCCTTTAACTTCCCGGAGGAGTCCGGGACTACAGGGAGGTCAGGTTGGGCTTTAAACTTTAAAGGTAAGTGCTTACCTTTAAAGTTTAAATGTAAGGGGTTTTTTTTTTGAGCATGCGCAAAAATCGGCATTCTCTGAATGGCTGCCTAGACGCATGCTCAAACTGTCCTTTAAAAAAAAAACACACACACGCAGACGCCCGCAGCGTGTGAGCGGGCGTCCACCGGAGGGCTCCGCAAGATGGAGGGTAAGTCTGATCGCGTTTATGCCGGCAGAAAGGCCGCGTCTGAACGCACCCTCTGTGTCACACAGTGGCCACAAATACCAGGTGCCGTCAGGAAGTCCACCAGTGGGGCCAGGACACTAGAAGCCCTCCCACTGTTGTCCCCCCAGGCACCAAGAAGACAGAGCATCCCTTGCCCCAGACCGAGACTTCCTATCTATATCTTATGGCTAATAGCCACTGATGGACCTCTGCTGCATATATTTATCCAATTTCCTCTTGAAGCCATCCATGCTTGTAGCTGCCACCACCTCCTGTGGCAGTGAATTCCGTGTGTTAATCACTGTTTGGGTGAAGAAGTACTTCCTTTTATCTGTTCTAACCTGACTGCTGAGCAATTTCAATGAGTGCCCATGAGTTCTCGTATTGTGAGAAAATGGTTAAAACTAAAATGTCTCCTTCTCTCAGAACAGACAGGTACATAAGAACATAAGAGAAGCCAATGTTGGATCAGGCCAGTGGCCCATCCAGTCCAACACTTTGCGTCACACAGTGGCCAGAAATACCAGGTACCATCAGGAGGTCCACCAGTGGGGCCAGGACAGTAGAAGCCCTCCCACTGTTTCCCACCCCCAAGCACCAGGAATACAGAGCATCACTTGCCCCAGACCGAGAGTTCCTGTCTATACTTTGTGGCTACTAGCGACTGATGGACCTCTGCTCCACATGTTTATCCAATTCCCTTTTGAAGCTGTCCATGCTTGTAGCCGCCGCCTCCTGTGGCAGTGAATTCCATGTGTGAATCACTCTTTGGGTGAAGAAGGACTTCCTTTTATCTGTTCAAACCCAACTGCTCCGCAATTCATTGAGTGCCCACGAGTTCTTGTATTGTGCGAAAGGGAGAAAAGTACCTCTTTCTCAACCTGCTCCATCCCATGCATGATCTTGTAAACCTCGATCATGTCACCCCTCAGCCGTCATTTCTCCAAGCTAAAGAACCCCAAGCGCTTTAACCTTTCTTCATAGGAAAGTCTTCTAACCCTTTGATCATTCTAGCTGCCCCTTTCTGCACCTTTTCCAATGCTATATCCTTTCTGAGGTGTGGTAATAAAACTTGTTAAATAAATGCATACATAATCAAAGAACATCTTCAAGTCAATTGATTTATTAGCCAATAGTGAGGTTACAGATCACTTCGTTTTACTAATTACCACCCACACTTTTCCTCGGGCAAACTTATCTCCACTTCTGCTTGGTTACAGCTAAGCTAGGCAACATCCTGTTTACAGGCAACATCAGTTTAACTCTTTTGTGACGGAACGTGTTGTCAGCTTGGAGCTAGTATTCTGGCACTTATTGTGTGATGTGCTTGCCTTCAGGTTTTTACGCTTGATGAGAAGAATGGGGTTGAGGTCCAGTGCGAAGTCGATGCACTGCTTGAACGTCAGAAGAGGGAAGCACTGCCAGTTCCAAAAACGCCGTCTGGCAAGTAAGTGGCTGCCAGAGTGTAAAAAGGGGGAGGGGCTGTGGGTGTTTCATTTTGACGTTGTGTGTGTGTGTGTTTAAGCAGGCGGCAAATAGACCCCGAAATTGCTGACATGATCAACGTTCAAGATAACTGCAAGCTGGAAGATGTCGACGAAGACAACGTCTACGGCGTGTTTGTCTCTTACATTGAGATCTATAACAACTACATCTATGACCTGCTGGACGAAGCTCCTTTTGAGCCCATCAAACCAAAGTGAGTCAGCCTCCTTCAGTGGGGGGACAGCTTTTGTTAATTCTGTTAGAGTAGAGCTGATAAAATCCACTTTGGGTCTTAGCAGCTGCCCCAGCAGCAGGCCTGGTTCAGTGTAGCTTTCATACCCAACTGATCCTCACTTAATTTGGAGTGTTTTGAGATCTGTCTTTCCCCAGCGTCACCTAGGAACATTGAATGCTACCCGCTGCAGAGGTTGGCATAAGCTTGAGGAGAACCAAATCTAGTTCTCCAGGTAGTTTTCTGCTTGACAGTGCATGGGGAAGGTAGCTCCTGAACAGGCCAGGTGAATACACTCACTTGACCAAAAATTGTCTAGTAAAATGTAGAAACAGCTTCTCAAAGCACAAACCTGGCTGTTGTGTTTATGGCATTCTTTAGAGAATGTTCTCTGCTTTGGAGTGAAGTGGGAGAGGAGGGGAAAGGTGGCTAGTGTAACACTTTAACTGTGTTCCTTTGGTAGGTGGAACAGCTGTGGCACCCCGGTGCGACCCGTTGACTTTGTGTATGTGCACGCCAACTCTTTGCCTCTTACGACAAGTAGAGATCATTAGTGGAGCCGGCGTCTTTTCTGTTGCTGTGAATGTCGCTTCCTGCTTCTCTCATGCTGAGGCTGGCCATTGACAGTTTGTGCATGGCTCCCCTCCTGTGTGTAACACGTGACTTGTGGCTACCCTCCCTGGAGCTCTGGCAGCTTGCCTCAGTGTTACTGCCGTCCGGTAGCTTATCCTGTAGCCGTCTCAAAATGACGGGTGGTGCTGGCCACGGTTTACATTGAGATCCTCCCTGTTGCAGGCCCCCACAGTCCAAAATACTCCGGGAGGATCAGAATCACAACATGTATGTTGCAGGATGCACAGAAGTAGAAGTGAAATCCACGGAGGAAGCTTTTGAAGTCTTCTGGAGAGGTAATAGCAGTCCTGCTGTGCTTCCTACCGGGTGAAGTGGTGATGTGCGCAGAGTGAAGATTCTCCCATTCCTGGATGAACGGTTATGAGAGAATCAGTGTGATGCGGTAATTAGTTTGGGTCTGGGGAGGCTGGTTCAGATCTCTCCCTTGGGCCAGTCAGTTACCTCAGTCTAGCCCGTCTCAGGAGATCGATGGGAGGGTGTGGTGGAGGAAGGGCAGAGCGATTAAGCGATGCTTGTCTGCCTTGAACCTCATGCCGATCAGTTTCTCTGGGTGACCCTGAGCTCTAGTACTGGCGGAGAAGAGGAGAACAATCCATTCCTTTGCTCCATTGGTGCTAGTCTCCACTTAGCTGGCTTTTTAGAACTTCAGAGCCACAAACTCTTCAGGTGTTACGTCCCACCCTCTGGATCCTTTTGGTTGCCCTGTTCTCTGGTTTTTGCAGCTTTGGACTATGTGCCGCTCCACAGGTGCTCCACAGGTGCTCCATAGATGTGAGAGAGACACAAGGACACTGGGTGTTTTATCTTCAGCCCCCTCTTCAGGGCCACTTTAAATTTCTCTGTTAACAGGCCAAAAGAAGAGACGCATTGCCAACACACAGCTGAATCGGGAATCCAGCCGTTCGCACAGTGTGTTCCTCATCAAATTAGCCCAGGCTCCGCTGGATGCAGATGGAGACAATGTTCTACAGGTGAAACGAAGAGGGGTCCGTGGGCACGCGTCCTCGTTCCCTGCCCACAAAGCAGGCTTCAACACAGGGTGTTTTGGTGGCTGGGGTGTCAGGCCACCCTGTATGGCCTCTCAACCGGCTCTTTCCAGCTTGCCGATCAGCAGGACTGAGAACTCTTTTGGTGGGGAGAGAGGCGGAGAGTTGAAGAGTGGTTCTGAGTTGAAAGCACACGTCTGATCTTCTCTTTCCTTTCACAGGACAAGGAGCTGATCACCTTGAGCCAGCTCTCTTTGGTCGACCTGGCAGGGAGCGAAAGGACAAACAGAACCAAAGCCGAAGGCAGCCGGTTACGCGAAGCAGGCAGGTGCTGCGTGTGGCCGACGGGTCGCTTCCAGTTCTGCCACTCTTGCCTGGAGCAAAAGCGAAGGGCCACCTCTCTCGCCTGGATGGCCCAGGCTAGCCCAGTCTTGTCGGATCTTATGAATTAAGCAGGGTTGGACCTGGTTAATACTTGGGTGGGAGACCACCAAGGAAGTCCAGGATCGCTCTGCTTGCCTCTTGCCTTGAAAGCCCCTTGGTGAGTCATTGTAAGTCAGCGGCAACTTGATGGCACTTCCTGCAGCTGTCTGGCCCCAGAGGCGGAGCACTCTCCTGTGAAATCCCTACAGTGCACTAGCAGAAACCAGTGTCCTCAAAAGTGTGCTTGGGGGGCCAAGGCAGGATCCTTGATTATAAAAGCAGTTCTTTCCTGCAGGGAATATTAATCAGTCATTAATGACGCTGAGGACTTGCATAGAGGCCCTACGAGAGAACCAGACATATGGGACCAACAAGGTGTGTAGCATGGCTTTTCTCTGGCATTTCTGTAGTCTTTACTCTCATAGCTGTGGCGCTGATTAAATTTTTGTCTTTAGATGGTCCCCTATCGAGACTCCAAACTAACCCATCTTTTCAAGAACTACTTTGACGGAGAAGGAAAAGTGCGGATGATTGTCTGTGTCAACCCAAAGGCCGAAGACTACGATGAGAGTTTGGTAATTTGAGCTCTTACTGTAATCTGGAGGGTTAAAATTCTGATGATTGGAGGTGGGTGCTTTTGATAAAAAAGAACACTTTAAAATTGTGCTACTTGTCGGGTTAGTGTGGCTTTTTTGTGAAGACTGTATCTGGTAAAGGGTCCTGAAGTCTGATGAGCAGAACTCTGCAGGCATCAGTGTGATTGTATGTAATTAACAGCGGATGATCAGTTCCAAAATTTGTATTTTCTGAAGACTTCATTTAACCTGGCACTTTAGCTGCACTGGAAGAAAGGATCCGTCTTCGTGACCCAGAACTTCTAGGGCTGTTCTACTTGTTTCTTTAGTATTTTTTCACGTGTGTTGTGTATGCTTTGCTCCCCCTAGTGGTCAATTCAGTATTACAGTGGGTTATGCCCGGCATAAAAACCTGCAGGGAGCTCTTCCGCCAGGCCTTCGATGAGGAGCCGCACCAAACACTTGAGAAAGGGACCCTGTGCCCTGGCCTACAACTTACAGCCTGTGCCCCGTTGCATACATAATCGGATCAGCTGAGCTAGTGTGAAAATGTCATCATGACTGCCACCTAAGCAGTATCGTTAATCTTGAAACTTCTGCTCTTGCACTTTACTTGAATATTGTTCCAGCACTTTAGGATAACTAATATTTAATAGTTATGGTGTTTTTATGAATGATTTTAACTGTATTTATATATGTACTTTTATGTAAGCCGCCCTGAGCCTGCCTTGGTGGGGAGGGCGGGGTATAAATCAAAGAAATAAATAAAAACCTGTAGGGAGGCATGCTGGACATAAACCAGTGTAATATCAAATCAACCAATACAGGAAGCAAAATACGCACAGAACAGGACCCCCCCACCCCCAAAGAAACAGGAACTTTCAAGCAAGGAAAATGAAAATGAAGGAAAGCTCCTACGGCGATCTTGCCCTCTTCCCTTCCTCATGGGCAGGACAGTTCCCTCCGTTTCCCCCCCTTCTTTCTGGCTGAGCAGCCCCTTTATCTATTTTTTCCCTTCTTCGAAGGTTCATGGCTGTCCCACCCTGTCACATTATTGTATTTTGATGCTGGATCAGCCCAGGGACTTGAGGAAAGAGACAAAATTGGTTTTGAGGGGGCAACAGCGGGAGGGCTTCTAGTGTCCTGGCCCCACTGCTTGACCTCCTGATGGCCCCTGTGTGACAGAGTGTTGGACTAGATGGGCCATTGGCCTGATCCAACATTGGCTTCTCTTATGTTCTTATGTTCTTAAAATCACATGCTTAACTTATACTTCTGAAAATGGCACATGAGGGGCTTTTGAAAGTTCCAAAAATAAACAAAATATTCAATGTAGAGGGGGAAAGCCGGGTAGAATCAGGGGTAAACTGTCTGAGGTGAGTCAATAATAACTCTGAGGTAACTTCGTAATTTCACACACTCCAGTTAATATGTAACAAGAGTTTCAGCTTTTCCACAAGGTCTTTGAATCTTTGAGGAGAGAGGCTTTAATTTCAGTGTCTGTTTAAACACTTCAGTAAGTTCCTGAGTTTCACGGACTCTTCCAGTCATAGAAGGCAGGGATACACGACCAAGTACCCTAGAATCCTTCTCTCCAAACACACCAGGGATCAGTTTGGTGTAGTGGTTAAGTGCGCGGACTCTAATCTGGGAGAACCGGGTTTGATTTCCCACTCCTCCGCTTGCACCTGCTGATGTGACCTTGGGTCAGTCACAAGCTCTGGCACAGCTATCCTTGAAAAAGAGCAGTTTGTTTCAGAGTTCTCTCAGCCCCACCCACCTCACAGGGTGTCTGTTGTGGGGAGGGGAAGGGAAAGGCGTTTGTAAGACGCTCTGAGACTCCAAGTGAAGGGTGGGGTATAAATTCAATCTCTCCTTCTTCTCCTTCTCCTCCTTCTTCTTTTCCTTCTTCCCCTTCTTCTTCCCCTTCTTCTTCCTCTTCTTCCTCCTCCTCCTCCTCCTCCTCCTTCTCTTCTTCCTCCTCCTCCTCCTCTTCCTCCTCTTCTTCTTCTTCTTTAGAGCTGTCCCCCTTGTCTACTGGGCAGGGAATTATTTCTCTTGTCCCTTTTCCTGGCCTGAATGGGGGAGTCTTCAGCGATCCTCCCATTCCTCCTTGCCACCTTCTCAGTCCTCTGTCAGCACTAAACGGTGTTCTCTTCCACCATCAGTTCCCAACAGTGTCTTCTCAACTGAACTGACGCTCTCCACAGAGTTCCGTTTGAGCAGCCTGTCACTCAGAGGCTCTCTGGCTCTGTGGGGCATCAACCCTTCAGTCTGTCACAGGTTTATACAGCCCTTATGAACTCCTCCTTTTTTTGGAAATTTTTATTAGATTATATACAGAAAGGGGGGGGAGGGAAATGGAAGGAAGAAAAGAAAAATATGGAAGTATTTAATTCCAATTTAGCATTCTGCATGCATATCTTCTCATTACAACTTCACAACAACTTCATCTGTCATTCTTATTATTCTTCACTTGATCTTATTTTCTTCATACTTAAGTTTTAACCAGCCATAGAACATCCTCCAGGGTCCCATAAATTCTTCTTCCATTTTCCCTTTTAATATATTTGACAACTTGTCCATTTCAGCACATTCCATAATCTTCAACATCAACTCATGTAGCGTTGGAATCTTCGGTGTCCTCCATGCCGTTGCAAATACATTTCTGGCAGCTGTTATAACATGTAAAATAAAATATTTGTGCTTCTTATCTAACTCATCTGGTAAATGGTTTAACAAAAATATCTCGGCTTAAAAGGTATTGTGATATTCAAGATTAACGGTAAGAAAATATGCACTTAAATCCAGAATTTATGAGCTTCTTTCTTTTTTATAAATAGTTTTATTATTTATCAACACATAACAAGCATGAACAAAACCTTACACAACACAAACAAAACATTGATCAGGAGCACATGCCATTTGTTGTGCTTAAGTTTTTCTCTTTTTGTACAGCAATCATTTCTTTTTTTCTTTTTCTTTTTTTTATAATATTTTTTATTGGTTTTACAAGCTATATCCTACATTCTAAAGATAAAGGTACAGGGGGAAAACCTATCACTAACTTATGACAAGAATATTTGTAAGCTGACACATGCCTACATCACTCCTGCAATAATATTGGTATTATGATAAACATAGAATTATAAAAGCAGAGAGATCAAACTTCTGTCGGTTAAAGCTTATTTATGCTTGAATCAAGTAATGTAATCCAGGGGGAAAAAACAACGTTTATCTCTTGGGCTTCTTCTTCACTTTTGAAGTTTTGGGCGCTGCTTCTCCTTTCTCAGACTCTGATATTGAACTGCTGGAATCACTTGAAGAATTATCTGCTTCTTCCTCACTGGGTTCCTCTCCTTCTTCCAGATTAGGGTCCTCGTCTTTATCTATGCCCAATTGTTTTTTCAAAAAGTTTTTGGCCTTTTGGACAGAGTCAATTTTAACTTTCTTGTCATTGTATTTGAACATGATTCCATCTGTAGGTTATTGCTTTGTCTTGTACAAAAAGAATTCAGTCTTTATACCGTCGTCTTTGTTTCCGGATCTCAAATGGAATGTCTTTCAGAATTTTAATTTCTTCTTCGTTGATTTTAAGTGTTTTTTTCCGCAGTAGCTTTTAAAACATTGTCTCTCATTGTTCTCTTTGAGAATTTAACGTAAATTTCACCAGGCAGTTTATTTTTTCTTATAAAATCAGGGTAGGTACGGTATGCCAAGTCCATGTCACTTTGTAGATCTTCCTGTTTAAGGTCTGAAATTGAAGCTATCGCTCCACTTATCGTTGTTTTTATGTCTTCCCCCTTCTGTTCAGGAAGCGTAGAACACAGATTTATCAAGCTGAAGTTGTTGATTTTTATCCATATTTCTTTCCTTCTTAACTTCTTTTAATTGTTGCTTAATATCAATAGTCCTTGTTTCAACTTTCTCGATCCTTTTGTCTGTCTTATTGGCTCTTTTTTCCCCTTGGGTAAATTGCTTTTGAACGGAATCCAGTTTGTTATTAATTGTAGAAATTTGGTCCAGCAGAGGGCACAGTGCTGCAGCAAGCATATTGGGAAAGTCTGCAGTCGCTTCCTGTGGGTGACTGGGAGTCGTTGGTGTAGTAGTTCCTGGTAGAAGTTTCTTTTCCGCCGCCATTCTCCTCGCCCTCCCAGCCATTTGTTTACAGTGAAGAAAAGTTTTAGTTTTAAATTAAAGTTTCTCTGAATTCCATGCTCTTGGCCTTAAAATACAGCTTTCAAGCTTAAATGAAGTCTCGAGCGGTAAGTTTCGTTCCTTCTTCCCTTTTTGTACTGCTTAAAGACCGCTCCGTTTTGGAGGGGGTGGGGGATCTCCAACCCTCCCCCACACACCGCTCTTTCTCCAATCAATCTAGCAAGCCAAGACTTCTTCGCTTATACAGAAGTTGTATTAACTCACTGTTTAGATGTTTGATTATTGCTGGGTTTATTTTCGCTTATTTTCTTGTCTGCTCATCCGGAGGTTGGCTCTCGGCTGTACTGGCTCCACGGCGTCAGGACCTCTCGGGGACAGGCAAGCCTTATATCCCTTGGCCATCGCCTTGGGAGAGACTTACCCGGCTCCCCAGGCCGAGAGTCTCCTACAGTATGGGGATCTGGAGCCAGCCAAGACCCCTCCTGATCGCGTTGGCTTGGCGCGTCGCTATTGGAGAATCGATGGGACGCGTCCAAGAACAAGCCGCCATAAACCGGACTCCCGCAATCATTTAGAATTTATGAGCTTCTAAAGCACAGTCCATCACAGCCCCTAATGCAGCCAAGCTAACCCAGCTAAGTTAGGGTGTGCCCTCTTAACATTGCCAGCCCATGAGTTTCTTTTTCAGTTTGGCAAATTATTCTCTTATAGCAAGTGCTGAGGTTTGCAGAGATCACCCAAGAAGTGGAGGTGGCGAGACCTCTTGACAAGCCGCTATGTGGGTTAACCCCCGGTCGCCGGTTTAAGAATCAGGCCTTCCAGGAGGAGCTTTCGCGGCAGCTGGAAATCCGAGGTGGCCCAATTGAGGGGGGTAAGTCCCGAGAAGCTTTCTGTGCCTCAAACGCTGACTTGGGTTCTTCTTAGTTGTTTGTTGGGCTACCCTGGGGCATGGCTGCAGCGGAATAAATACTTTAGCCCAGAGCACTGTTCCCTCTAAGCTGCGTTAGTGTGAGCTAGCTCACAGTTTTTTAACTTCTGGCTGACACATTTTTGTCTTCGCTCAAGAAAGATGGCTCTAGAGCAAACTAATTTAAGCAGTAGCCAAATGGCTCGCTCACAACTTTAGTGCCAGGAGCTCACAAAGTAGAATTTTTGCTCACAAGAGTCCAACAGCTTAGAGGGAGCCTTGGCCCAGAGTGATTTCAGCAATGCCACTTAGGTAGCTGTCGCCTCCTTGCAGGAAGCCCATTCAGACATGAGTGTTGTGTTCTAATGAGAACCATCCAGATTCCAGTCCTGCGTGACTCCACGCAGAGGGCACTTCTTCCTACCACTCTTATCCTCAGCGGGGTGCAGTGCCGCTTCTATGTGGGCAGCCGTTTGGGACAAAATTGGTGTGGCTGGCAGGGGGAAGCAAGGGTGTGATTGGCACAGGCAGCGCCTAATGGCGAGGGAGGGAGGCAAACCCCTGCAGCGACCTTCTTTTCCCCTTGCAGATCGAGAGCAGTCTGTCACAGAGATGCTCCTGCAGAGCATTCCTCCGATGCCTTCCTGTGAGCTCCTTGACATCAACGATGACCAGACCCTTCCTCGGCTGATCAAAGTGCTTGAGAAGCGCTACAGCATCCGGCAGAGGCTAACCGAAGAGTTCAACAAGAACGGTAAGCCCTCGAAGGCTCTGCATTCACCGATGGCTTCGCTGCTCTCCTGGGAGTGGCACAGCTAGAGTGCTTTTTATTTATTTTATTTTTTATTTATTTGGGTTTTTAAAATGTTTGTTAAGATCCAGTATAACTTATAACATATACAATCACTGCAAAACAGTAAGCAAAAGTCCTGAGAATCCAGAATTACAAAGCAGCCAGTTAATCACCGACAAAGTTTTCAACATACGTCAACAGTTATAACATAATAATTTAGTTTCAGATCCGTTCCCATATATAAAAACGACTTTTGAACTATAAATCCCAATGAATGGAGTCATGTCTAAAATACAACAAGTTTGGGAGTCTGCTACGCTAGAGTGCTCTTTAGAGAATCTCTGGACTGGCTTCTTGTCTTGCTGGTGGCCATGGCAATGTTGGCCTTTGCCCAGAAGTCACGACCTGTATTTTGTTGCGTGTCTTGCTTTTGGCCTTTGGAGGACTTCTCTCCGACTGGCACTCTCTGTACATGTCTGGATTATTCCCTGTCTGGCCAGAAATTATACATTTTAGTTCCCTGTCACTGTTGTGGGAGAGAATTAAACATGTCCCACTGAGACAGTCCCAGTGATAAAGCTGATGGGACTGAAGGTGTCTGATCCTGGACTGGATTGTGGTCAGTCATCCTTGCCATAAGAAGCTCTCTGACATTTTTATCTGTCTTGTAAAATCCGTGTTGGGCTTCCACACATATCCCCATTTTACAGATGTGGGTACAGACTGGAGGGCAGTAACTGGCCTCAGCTGGGGTGTTTCTAGTGAACCTCAGCCGGTCTAGCTAAACTGGCCCTGTTGGTGGTGAGGCCTGGCAGTGTCCCCTTGTGTTGCAGCGCTTTTTGTGAGGGGCATGCTGCAGGAAGTCGATGCCAGCCTCGTCTCCAAGGAGAACTACACTCAGGCCAGAATGGCCGAGAAGGACAAAACAATCGTCGGACAAAAAACAGAGATCGAGCGACTGGAGAAGAAAGCCAAAACTCTGGAATATAAGGTTTGTGTTTGGTGGCTGTTGAAACTGTACGTGCCTCACTTGTGTAACCGGTGACCACCTGTCCTCATTGCTCGAACACCATCTGTAGCCTGAGTGCTCCACTTTCCGTTCTCGAAGCTGGGCTCACTTGGAATGGGTCTCTGTCTTACACTTAAATGCTGACAGCTACTGCCCAGAGAGAATGGTCTGGAGCATCATCCTTTGGGGCCAGGCCCCAACCTGGTGGAATGAAATCAGGGCCAGTGTTCCCTCTCAGTTGAGTTAGAGTGAGCTAGCTCACAGTTTTTTAACCTCCAGCTCACACAGTTTTGTCTTAGCTCGGGAAGGAGGGCTCCAGAGCAAACTGATTTATGCAGTAGCCGAATCGCTCACTCACAAGTTTAATGCAAAAGCAGCCGCACGCAGAAACATCGAGCCTGCCGGAAGTGGTCGCCAGTTAACCTGAAGAGACGCCAGAATAATACCTGCCCGCCGGAAAAAAGATACAATGCGCCGCCAATAGGGTGTCGGTAGGCAGCCCCCCCCCCATGAAATGTTGTGGCCCTAGGGAGGTTAATTACTACTATACTAAGTAGTACCCTGTAAAACCGCTCTGAAACCCATTAGGGGTCATGGGCGGTATATAAATCCAATGTAAATAAAAAATAAATAAATAATGCCAGTAGCTCGCAATGTAGAATTTTTGCTCACAAGACTCCACAGCTTAGAGGGAACATTGATCAGGGCCCTGCGGGACCTTCTGCTGCTCTGCAGGGCCTGTAAGACGGAGCTCTTCCACCAGGCTTTTGGGTGAGGCAGCAGACGTCAAATACCACCTGGCTCCTCCTCCTACCATCTGTATTATGACCTTCAGTCTTTGAGGACATGGCATGATAGCCACGTCGGTCTACCCAATGCAGGCAGGGGATCCATAACCTGGAATTTATTTTCGGATCCAGCCCCTATGCTTTATTGTCTAACATCAGGACGACACTGAAATAGCTGTGTGGTAGTTCGTTTGCCATTGTCCAAGGGTTAATTTTATTGTTTAATCCTAATAATAATAATAATACTTTCAATTTATTGATCGCTTTTTCCCACTCATGCGGGCTCAGAGCGATTTACAGTTACTCAAGGAGACGATGGACTAACAATATTCGTGGGGGATAGGGAAGACAACTTACACTATTTAATCACACACACATTGCAGCTGGAGGATCCATCCGCACGCTGTATCAGTCATGCTGTAACCTGCCCTAATGTTGTAACCTGCCCTGAGCCCGCTTGCGGGAAGGGTGGGATAGACATTGAATTAAATAAATATACACAGGCAGCTGCTGCTTCCAAAGCCCCTTGTCGTTAGTTGTGTGCAGTGTGGGAGAACTCATGGAAAAGCAGCTGCCGTTTGCACTGACAGATTGACATCTTGGAGAAAACGACAGCCATTTACGAAGACGAGAAGCGCAACCTGCAGCAGGAGCTGGATGCCCGAAGCCAGAAGCTGCAGCGCCAGGCATCTGATAAGCGCCGGCTGGAAGCACGGCTGCAGGGCATGGTGACAGAGACCACAATGAAATGGGAGAAGGAATGCGTAAGTGTGTGTGTGTGCGCGCTCGCCTTTTCTCAAGCCTTGAAGGGAATTGTGAGGTCCTTGCTATTTGGGGAAATGGTTTTACCTTTAGTTTTCTGCTGCCACCAGGAATTAAAAATTTCAATTCTCTTGGTAGTATGACCTAGGGTCTGGGCACTTCAGAGGACAATGTGGCCCTGAGGAAGTACTGTACTGATTTCTGGGATAAGTTTAAACAAAAATTGAGTTATTTAATAAAGAACAAAATAGGTTTCTTGTTTCTTTTGAACAGTTGCTGAAGAAAGGAATTTATATAAATATAACTGGCAAAGCTTGGTGCTACAGTCTCTCAAACTCCACTCTGACAGGCTTATACACTCAGTATAATCTCTCTCTTTCTCATTTATATATATAGCCACTCAGGCTAGTCTCTGTTTTATTCACACAGAATCAACTCTCTTAGTCACACAGACTAAACTGTTGGTCTTAATCACACAGAAGAAGACTCAAAATCCTATAGTCACACAGACTATGCGCACTCTTCAAACTTCACACACAGAATCTTTCATAGACACCCACACACAGATTCCTCTCAGAACATCTCCTCCCACACTCTCAGTCATCAGCCAGTCAAAATACACTCATCTCCGTCTATCACTCTTCTTACATTGCTGCAGTCAAACTAAACATTTAAAGGAACACACACACCAAAATGTGGAATCATTACAGGAATGCATTCCGGGAAAAGCTTTTCTAGTGGAAAAGCAAGCACTCTGCCCCCTTACTATGAGGCTTTATTTATTAAGGTGTTCCTAAGCTGCATTCATCAAGGCATTCCTAAGCCCCTTTTCTCCACCAAGGGACCCAAAGCAACTTGCAGAAACTTCCAAAATCTGCCACCAGAGTCAGTTTAAACGTGAGTGTTGATACAGTGCTGGAGGGGAGTGTCGCCCGCATGCTGGTGACACTTTGCTCCAAATCTCTAGACGGTCTCTCCCAGCGTACAGGAGGGCTGGGCTGGCTTTTGGGATAAGAGGGGTGGTTAACCCTGTCCTACTAACGGGGCAGACGGAACCTCTGCTGTAAGTCTGACATGCCGTCCTGCCGCAACAGCTTCCTTGCCTCCTGGCATCATGATCCAGCCCTTCTTCATCTTATGCGCCACATGGCCGGGTGGCACGCTCTTGTCTTTTGCCAGCCGGCTCACGGTCGCCTGTCGTCCCTTGCAGGAGCGGCGGGTGGCAGCCAAGCAGCTGGAGATGCAGAACAAGCTCTGGGTGAAGGACGAGAAGCTGAAACAGCTGAAAGCCATCGTCACGGAACCCAAGGGCGGCAAGCCGGAGAGGCCTTCTCGGGAGAAGGACCGGGAGAAAGTCCTGCCACGGTCGCTGTCGCCTCCACCTGTCCCTGTAAGGAACCTTTCAGTCTCCTGGGGAACATGGCTGTGAGGTGCTCAGTCCTTGTGTGAGGGTGTGTGTGTGTTGTGGCTGTGCATTTGCAGAGAATCTGTCCTGCCTGTGGGTCTCCGTTCTTTCCAGCCTCAATACCTAGAAACAGGTTTCCGTGCCACCCCCTTCCCACGAGTCCTCTGCATTCAGGCTGAAAAGCCATGGGGATCTATAGCCCCCTTCTGTCTCCCGAGAGTCTGGGGTCCATGTCAGTTTTGTGTGGCAGCCTGGCTTTCTCCGTGTCTCGTTCACTAACTTCGCCTCTCTTCAGATTTCTAGTAACTGTGTCGTCACTCAGCTCCCTGCCCACCTGCCCGCCACAGTTGGGCCACAACTGCACAGGCGCTCTAACTCGTGCGACAGCATTTCCGTGGCCTCCTGCATCTCGGACTGGGAGCAGAGAAGGCCTGCCCTCGGCAGCAAGCACCCCAGCGGCATGACGCCCACGGCTAGGAGTCGGCTGCAGGAGCCGGAGCGAGCTAGGCCCTGTGCTGCGGCAGAGAGGAGGCGGGGCATGCAGTGGACCGGCACCCCGGAGGTCCCCGGCGGTAGAGAGGTAGGAGAGGGCCTCCGTGTCGCTGGGTCCAAGCCACTCCCAACAGGGAAGGGGTGCCGAGTTTGACCGCCAAGGGGAGTAGAAGAGGCTACCGTGCCTCAAAAGCCTTGCCTTACCTTCCCGTTCCTTGAGAATGGCAGTTCTGCAGCGGCTTTAAACATTCCAGGGAGATCCCCCAATCTGGCAGGCAGTCCTCTGAAGCTGGTATGTGGGTGAGGGCTTTTGGGGTTGCAGCTGGAAGCCGGGACTGTAGCTGAGTGGAAGAGCCTCTGCGTTGCATGCAGAAAGTCCCTGGTTCCATCCCTGCCGTCTCCAGCTCAAGAAGGACCTGGTAGGAGTGGGTGGGACAGACCTCTTTGCCTGAGACCCTGGACGGCCACTGCCAGTCCGAGTAGCCAGTACTGACCTTGACGGACCGGCCAGTGGACTGATTCAGGAGAAGGCAGTGTCGTGCCTCCAGATTTGGCCTCTGTGCTCATCTGCAGTCAAGCTCTTCACATGCACTGTTTGTCTGTCTGTCTCTCTTGGACAGGAAGGATAAGTGTGGCTCTTCTCTGTCTTCATGCTTTGTGTGCTCTTCCTTTTGCAATGTCTTGTGTGCTTGGCAACCAGCGGTTGTTGCTTGTTCCCCTTTGGACGGGCGCAGTGTGTCCCCCTGCTCGGTCAGAGAAGCAGGCAGCCGTGAATTTTGGCCTAGGAGAAACTGAGGCCTTTCTGCATGTGGTCTTTGTCTGGGTGCTCCAACGGCTAGCTGCTGGTTTGGGTTTAGTCCGGTCAAAACGTAAACGCTGGTAAAAATGGAAACTGTGTAGAGCCTTGCCTGTCCAAGTACTGCAGAGTCTTCTGTGCTGGTGAACAAGGTGGCTTCAGTTGAATCACTCAAAGTGTTGGGGGGGGGGTTCCATTAAAAATACCAAAAGCATCTTTTATATGGGACATCTGATTGGCCACTGTGGGAGACAGGAGGCTGGACTAGATGGACCCTCACTGGTCTGACCCAGCAGGGCTCTTCTGGTGTCCTTATCAGGGGAAGGCCTCGGCCTCTCTGCCCTGTTGCTGGCCCTCCAGAGGAACTGGCTGGCCACTGTGTGAGACAGGAGGCTGGACTAGGTGGACCCTCACTGGTCTGATCCAGCAGGGCTCTTCTGATGTTCTTCTCAGGGGAAGGCCTCGGCTTCCATGCCCTGTTGTTGGCCCTTCAGGAGGAACTGGGTGGCCATTGTGGGAGATGGGATGCTGTCGTCTGATCTAGTAGGGCACTTCTCACATCGTATCCCATTTTTAATTCTTTCTTTTTGAATGTAAGTTTGGCATTTAACTCTGACTGTGGTGAACAACTCATAGTTTAAACGAGAGCCTTCCTGTTGTGGGTGGCTGGCTTCAGTGCCCGCCTGAACCTGTTCCCTGCCCGTTCTGGACCTGCATTCCTTGCCTGGGCAGTCAGATCTGTCACGGCTGCCAAGCAGAGCGCTTGTTTCATATTTGCCTGTGTGATGCGAGAGCAGAATACTTTGATGTTTCTCGGTTTGCCCCTGCTCATGGTCTGTTGCCAAGTAAGCAAGCGTCACTTTTGTTGGAAAGTATAGCCACCGTGCAGGCTGGCTACATGGCAGACCCCATTCCACCTGTTGGGATGCCTGCTGTGGCAGACAGCTGCTCCACTGGGATGCTGCTTCATAGACTGTCTGTCGGCAGGGTTCCCTTCCTTTAAAACCTCTTGCCATTTTTTTTGCGATCTGATCTAGAACGCTCTGCCAGTCCGTCCCCGGCACAGGCGCTCCCGTTCCGCTGGGGAGAGATGGGTGGACCACAAGCCACCCTCCAACGTACAGACCGAAACGGTCATGCAGCCCTACGTCCCCCATGCCATCACCGTGGCGACTGCCAGCGAGAAGACCCTGGCCAAGTGCGACAAGTACATGCTCACCCACCAGGAGCTGGCCTCCGACGGGGAGATCGAGACCAGGCTGATCAAGGTACAAAAGGGATCCTCTCGGGCCAGGTTCTCAGGGCCGAAGGGCCTGGGGGCGGGGAGGCCTGCGGGCTTCCAGGTGGGGACGTCAGAGAATGCAAGCGAGAGCAAAAGCAGTCTCCGGCAGATTGTGGTGGGGGGTCTGGCCTCAGAGCAGCGGCAGTGCTGGGGCTGTGTCGGTCTTGCCCAAAGCCCCCAAAGGGTTGCCGGTTGGTGAAGGGGGCTGGTGGGTAGCTCTGGCAGAGCTGTGCTGAACCACAGGATGCGTCGTCTGTCTGTGGGTGAGCAGTGGAAGAAGCCAGCTGAAGAGGGAGTCTGCAGGCCCGCCCTTCAGCACAACTTAGCTGTGGACGCCGAGAGAAGAGAACAGCTAACTTGGGCCCGGCCTGCGATATCTAAAAACAAACCCCAGTCTGGCTGAAACGGCAGCCACTCGAACACTACCGTCAGCAGTGAGAACTTGAACTGTGCTTTGTTTCCAGGGCGACGTTTTTAAGACCAGGGGCGGAGGCCAGGCAGTCCAGTTCACCGAGATTGAGACCCTGAAACAGGAATCGCCAACTGGGTGAGTCTGGCCTCCTGGCAGTAGGGAGAGCCAGAGAGTGCCGTGGCTAAATTCGGAGTCCAAGATGGCCATCTCCCAGTGGTGTGTGTTCTGTTCATTTGGGATTAAGTCCCGTCCCCCCCCCCCCCCCAATCCAGGGCAGGGCACCAAACTGGCTGCCTTGATGGGCATTCTGCCTGCCCGTTGTCGGCTAGCTACGTCTAGACAGAAGGCTGCCATGGGAGACCTCAGCCTGGAGTCTGTGGCCCAGTAAAGCCCCGAAGAGTGGCTTGTCCCCAACTGCCTTTGGAGGCAGTGTCAGAACCCACAGCCAACAACAGAGTACACACTTCATAGAAATGTTATACTTTTATTGAAGAGCCATAGATGCATTAACACAGTCACTGTTAAGAATAACCGTTGCCTATTGAACCTATTGAGATATAGGGCATTTGTATGCACACACACACCCCACTGCGCTGGCCAATTAGGCACCCTCCCGCGCGCGGGCTAGAGCTGGTAAGCGTTACTGCTATGCAAAGCTGGGAATTGCTCTGCTCCCACGGTTGGGAGACAACACACCTCGCCTCCTGTTCTTCTTTAGAGATAAGCATTACTGCGCCAAGCAAGAGACAGGAATGTGAAAGCAATCTACACAGACACTGAAAGAACATCCCCACCCCCATGGCAGCATAGCTGACAGGCAGGCTCTAACTGTTCTCTGCTGCTTCCTCCAGTCGCAAGCGGCGATCGTCTCCCTCGAATCCTTCTCCACCCAATGATGCTACTGAGTCAGAATGGACAGATGTGGAAACACGAGTAAGTCCGCAGAACGGGGCGAGGGGCTCAAGCTCGGGCGGGGGTGTGTGTGTGTTCTGCAGCGTTGGCTGTTGACCCCAGGGGACACATGCATGTGTGTATGTTCCTTTTCAGTGCTCTGTTGCGCTGGAGATGAAGGCGGGCTCAAGCCTTGGACCCGGGTACCAACATCACGCTCAACCCAAGTAAGTCTCTTCTTCAGGCGAGGCAAAATGTATGGGCCAGCTGCCGCTCGTTTGTGAGGCGCTCTGCAGAGTCACCTCTAGGGATGTGCAAAAAAAAAATTCGGTAAAATTCGGATTCGGGTTTATTGAACTCGAATTTTTTCGGGAAACCCGAAAAAACCCAAATATCTAATTCGGTAAAGCATAGATATCCGAAAATATTCGGGAAACCCGAAAAATTCGGGTCCATTATAACCAATGGGGCCATTGAAGTCAATGGCAAAAAACCTCTTGAAACTTTGCAGGGGGCTGGGGGGGAGGGGGTAGAGGCTCCAAATTTGGACAGTGGCTGCTCAAGCCTCTCCCCGAAAGACCCCCAAAGTTTCGAGAAGATTGGTCCAGGGGGTCCGATTCCAGGGGCATCCAAAGAGGGTGCCCCCAGTCCCCCCAGATCAGTTTGCTGTATTCCCGGTTTGCCGCCGAAATTCGGCGGCAATGCATTTCAATGGGATTTTAACCTTCTGCTTTCCTTTTTGCAGGCCCCTGGGGGGGGGGGTTAGAGGGAGAGGCTCCATTTTTTTTCCCACCATAGAGAACAATGGAGGGATGGGGGCAACCTGTTTGGGGGCCCATAGAATTGGACCCCCTGGTCCAATCTTCTTGAAATTTGGTGGGCATGTTGGGGAGAGGTTCCAGTAACCACCCTCCAAATTTGGAGCCTCTCCCTCTAACCCCCCCCCCAGGGGTCTGCAAAAAGGAAAGCAGAAGGTTAAAATCCCATTGAAATGCATTGCCGCCGA